TTGTGAAAATGAATGTATATAAACTATGAACCAAACACAAAATATTGAATAAACCAGAATTTATTTTATTTTGTTTACTAATGTTTATATGCATTAATAGTAATGTGATTTAAATAATAAAACAGGTGTATGAGCCTTGTTTATTAAGTTATAAGTGTTATTACGAAATTCCCTGCATTTATCATATAGAATTTTACTCAGTACATTAAAAAGATTTACAGATTATAATGAATTTTCGTTTTTCCAATTTTTTCAATATCTATAAACACTAATCTGAATAAAAATAATCTATAATAAAATGGTATAGTAATTGATATACAACAAATTTTTTAAATGATTTTCTTGAAAATAAAGCCTTCAATAAAAAAATTTTATGTTTCATTTTCAGTTTTTTTTTTTTTTTGCATTGAACCACTTTTTTCCAGCTTGTACCAGCAATGATATCCAATTAAAAAAAATTTTAATAGTATAATGGATGTGAGATACATGGAACAATGAAGGATGTTCACTTTAATATTTCATTCAATTTTTTTTGCTTACATCAATATGGTACACTTCTAAAGAAATCTATTCCTATTGCCTATTCCTATTTCCTTTCTTCCTTTCACATCTTTTGACTTTGATTTACTGGACATCATTAGACAAGAGCATTTTCAACTACATATAGATTTTATAGAACATGTTTCATGCAAACATTTTAAATGTTAAAATACAATATTTCATACAAATACCTATTTATACCACCATGTATTCATATTTGATTAATTATTTTTTATTTTAGATATGAAGTTGAGTCTAAACATGGTGCATTTTATACAGGAGGAAATGTTCAAGTATAGTAACTAAAAATTCTATTTTAATTATTTTCCCCTCTTTTATCAAATGTTTTTATCAAATCATGTTTTTATGGTAGTGGAGTACAGATGGAGAACATATATTCTGTCAAAAATATGGTGCCGTTTCTATATTGTCAGTAAAGAAAGGCATAGTAATATCTTATTTGGGAGAGAACAATGATAATGAAGAAGAGGATACAATTAAGGCATTCACTGCATTTGATAATGATTTAAATATAGTCACATATCATAAAAGCAGTCTTTTCAAATTATGGAACTGGAAAGGTAATAGTATTAGCTAATTCAATATAAACAGTTGTTATTGATTTATATTGTTAATATGTTAACTGTTAGGCAAAATTTGTTGGCTAGTCCATAGCACACACTGAGTCACAACACAAATGAAATCAATTTTACATATAATAGAAAAGAATTGCAAATTGAATGTTGATGTAAGGAAATAAAAAATTATATCCTATTATCTGCACCTATTTCACAAAGTGGACATGCTAAACGGATCATGTAAAGCCAAAAAGAAATTGTTAAAAATTATTGTCACAATTACTATTATAGTTATTGTCATAAGGATGTAGAAAAACTACAAATAAAGCAATGAAAATTGTTTATTTTCTTTAATGATTGTGAAGGCAACTTTATACATGTATTCCCTACATCAATAACATACACAGTAAATCAATAAAGTTAATTTTGTATGTATCGAATATATATAAGAAAAATTGTATTTTTTTTTTTTTTATGTATTTTTAATAAAACATTTAAATGTATATTTTGATGTAATTACTGCAAATACAAAAACTGAGCACTAACTTATGCAAAAACAATAATATGGTACCCAAAGTATTGAATGCAGAATTAATTTGAATTTAATAAGAATGTATAAAAATTTAATGTTTGATACAAAATTGTTACTATTACAGATAACAAATTACTTAAATTATGGAAATCTCTTCACAAAAGTCCTGTAGTTAGTATTGCACATTCCAGTGAAAGAAATTTAATGGTTTCTGGAGGTAGTGATGGTACAGTCAGATTTTGGAATTTACAACATCATACTTGTATACATAATTTGAAAGGGGTTCAAGGAGTTGTAAGGTAACTATTTAAAGTAAAATGTAATTTTTATTACACACATAAAAATATTAGGAACTTATCTCATTGCAATATTTGAAGTAGCTTATATCACAGTAGTTTATCATTACATCACATTACTCCCATAAATAAGTAAAATATATAGCAAAAATTTAATTTTACATTAACAATTTATAATGGTGTCAAATTTTAATTTTGTTTTCAATTACATCATCATAAATGAAATATTCTTTTTAGAATATAAGGATACTGTAAATTTTTATAAGTTTTGTAAATCATAACTTAATTTCAGTGTTTTGCACTTTCATCCAAATATTGAAAAGGAACTTATCTTTGCTGCTGGGGATGATATTAAAATTCATGGATGGAATATCAAATCTGGTAAAGAAGAGATTACTCTTTCTGGTCATTTTAGTAAAGTTACTTCTTTGTCTTTTTCCAAAAATGGAGATTATTTAGTTAGGTAATACATTGAAATTGTATTATAATTTTTATTTCTAAATTAAAAATTTGTTCCATTAATAACGTATATTTCTTTTGTATAGCTCGGGAAGGGATAGAGTACTTATTTTATGGCATATTTCATCTGGATGCTCAATACGTGTTTTGCCAGTTTATGAAGAAATAGAAGATATATTTATTGTACCTGAAAATGTATCATCGTCTATACCTTTCTATAACAAATATAAAGATGGTATTCATATTGCTGCTGCAGGAGAAAAAGGTTTCGTTATAAATTTTTATTTATGTCATAAAAAGTATTTATATAAAATGAACTAATTTTAATCAGTTTCTTAATCAAATATAACTTTCATTAAATTTGATTTTTTATTAAAATGAATAAGAACTTTCGTTTCTTTAGAAATCACTTACAGGTTTTTAAAAATGACGTATTTACAAACAATGATACAATATTTATTATGTGCTTTAATTCTTTTTAGGTGTTGTAAAAATTTGGGAAATGAGAAGTGGTATAGAAGTATATGAACAAAAAAATTCTATAGTATCCTCTGTAAAAGAAGCAGGAAGCCTTTCAATTACACATTTACTTTATAATAATAGCAGTAACAACTTTGCAATAGTTACAGTTGATCACAATATAATTATTCATTCGTTAGAAACGTTCGAGTATGTAAAACAGGTAAATGTAATGTTTAAAATAATAATGAAATTCATATTCAGTATATACATTTATAATATTCGTTATTTTAAATTGTTGTAGTTAGTAGGTTACAGTGATGATATTTTAGATATTGTATATCTTGGAGAAAATGAAAGTCACGTAGCCATTGCTACTAATAGTTGCGATATAAAGATATACAATATTTTAACTATGAATTGTGAACTTGTGTGTGGACATACAGATATTGTTTTATCACTTGCTACAACACCTGCTAATTCCAACTTACTTATATCGTCAGCAAAAGTATGTATATATTTTGTAAACAATATTACCCTGTGTTCTACAACTATTATTTTCTTTTAAACTGCCATACGTTTCACAAAGCTTACATAAATTAATAATCAAATATACCACATAATAAATAATTGCCCTTACAGTACATGTTCGTCATATCCGTATTTGCGATTTTTGCTAACATACGGTTATTCTTAATACTGTTTTAATTATAGTATCTATACAACTTAACAACAATAATGAAGTATAAATCTAATAAAAGTATTAGTTACGACTTAAAATCTAAAATATTGTTACGCTAATGTATAATCAATAAAAAGTGTACAATATGTTTATGAAATCTTTAATAATGTTTCACAATTTATAGGATAATAGCATTCGTGTTTGGTTTATGGATAAACAAACAGCTAAAGTATGTTGCATTGCATCTGCTGTCAGACATACTGCTCCTGTTGGTTCTGTTGCAATTTCACAAGCATCTTCTAAATTCTTTGCTTCTGTCAGTCAAGATTTGTGTCTTAAGTTATGGAATTTACCAAACAAGATTGAGTCTGAAGGTAAAGATAATGCTGGCTTAAATTGTGAATTATTTCTGTACTTAATGTTATTTTACATGTTCAATGATTACAGGTTCCTTAAATGTAATTCATACAACACTGGCTCATGAGAAAGATATTAATAGTGTAACTATTTCGCCAAATGATAAGTTAATCGCTACTGGTTCGCAAGACAAAACAGCTAAGGTATAATGAGTATAATTCTTTAAAAATTTTATGTAACTTTATTTAATTTATAACCATCTCAAAAGTATGTTAATATTGAATATTGCAGTTGTGGTCCGCTGATGACTTACAATTACTTGGAGTATTTCGTGGCCACCGTAGGGGAGTATGGTGTGTTCGATTTTCGCCTATAGACCAAGTACTTTTGACGACATCAGCAGATTGTACCATAAAACTTTGGTCACTGTCAGAACTCCACTGTTTAAAAGTAATTTTAAAACTAGCTAAATTATGATTAAACTACTTTTATTAAAATATACGTTTAAGATTAATATTTTTACTTATATGATAGACATTCGAAGGTCATGAATCATCAGTGTTAAGAGCAGAATTTTTAACGCGTGGTATGCAAATAATTACAACAAGCGCAGATGGTCTTTTAAAACTATGGAGTATTAAAACATCAGAATGTATGTGTACCTTAGAACAACATGAAAGTCGCGTGTGGTCACTTGCAGGTAGGTATTTGAATGTTCTTCAGTTAAACATTTTTATTACGTTATATTTTTATTATAGTTAGCAAAAATGAGAAAACTATTATTAGCGGAGGTAGCGATTCATTACTAATTATATGGAAAGATGTAACTGAGGAAAGAAAAATAAAAGCAGCGATGCAATTAGAACAGCTTATATTAGAAGAGCAACAATTAGCAAATTTATTTAAAGCAAATCAATTGACAACCGCGCTAAACTTAGCTTTAAAGTTAGGACGCCCTTTCAAAGTTCTTAAAATTATAGAAAGTAAGTTTTAATTACATATTAATGCATCTTGTTATACAATTATAAAGTGATGATTGTAGAAACAGAGCACTTAAATATTTCTACTAAATTTATAGGTGAAAGAAAGTATTTAAAAAAAAAGAATCTCAACTATACTGCTCAAAAGGTATAATTTTAGAGACAATTAAAAATAATTTGCAGCTTACATTGCTCAATCCTAAATTTCTAGTCCTAGATCATTTGAAGGTCGTATTATCATATGTTTTCGAATTCGTTTTGATAGTAATTACAGCTTTATAAACAAAGAAACATAAAGTGCCATTTAAATAACCGTTATTAACTTTCAAATAATTCTTAAGATACATTCGTTTGTACTATTATATTATTTACTCCCTTATCCAGTGCAAATATTTTCTTTGACACTTTTTTCTATTCTTGAACCTAAAACGGAAATTTAAGTGTTCTGTTTCTCATGTCTCACTTTGTACAAGAGATATTGTACTGAACTTGTACACATTAAATTATTCCTAAATTATGTATTGTATGAAAAATTATTACATTTAAAAAGACGAAGTTCACTTTCAAATATTTAAAATATTTCCACCTACAAGTACATATATACTGTGTATTCTTTTTTGGATATATAATAATTTTTCACACAACGTGTAATTTAAAAATTATTCATTATGTTCACCTTAGTTAATAATTTTACAATAGTGGACTAAGATGTAATAAAAGTACAATTACCTTTCCATTTTTATTATAATTGTTTTTCATGTATTAGGTATTTTAAAAAAAGATAAATACGAACTGGAACAAACAATTCATAAATTAAAACCAATTTATAAAGAAGAATTACTTAAATGTGCTATTACATGGAATGGCAATAGTAAAAATTGTCAAATTGCTCAGGTAAATTCTCACATATGATTAAATATGTTTGCTGAATAAGTTCAACCATAATTTTATTTTTATTCATTTTGTTTCTGTCTAACAGGTAGTCATAAATGCGTTAATACTGGAGATGGAACATTTGGAAATCCAAACAAAATTAACTTCTACATTAGAATCTGTGATACCATATACTGAACGCCACTACATAAGAATGACAAAATTGTTACAAAATCTGCATTTACTTACTTATACTCTTCACTGTATGAAACCACAAACTACGTTTATAGAAACGAGCAAAACATAAAATTAATAAATTTTATTTTATCTTGCAAATTTTTATATTTTTTCT